ACATTTGTGTTGAGGTAAGTTATTCCTCAACAGAAGTCTCCAGACTTTTCTCAGGAGGATTTGTTCATTGAAAGAAATATTTCAAGGTAAATAGTCTGAAAAATAAATCAACTTGAAAATACTGTTTCGAATCGTTGTTAGTCCTTGCGTCAGGGTTTTGACTCCTGGTGCAAAGCTTTCAAATTAATCAATACATGGCATGTGCTAGTTATTCAAGTAAAAATTCAATTCCCAGGAGAATAGTTGGAAAAAATACCCAGTCTGACAAATACACTTTGAATCTTCAAAATATCGCTGTTGGAAGTTCTCGCATACTATTTTGACTCATGGTCCTTAGCTTGAAAAAAAAAACTTGACAAGAGTTTATTGAACGGTCAAATTTCAGTTCATACGGGAAAGGTTAAAAAATAATCTAAAATTACTGTATGAATCTTATTGAAATCACCATCGGCATTTATCGCGTCAAGCGTTTGACTCATACTATGAAGCACCAAATTTAAATGAAGCAAAACTTGACCTTGAGAAATTGAGTGGGAAATGGTTTAGAAATAGCCAAGCTTGGAAAACAAAATTTGAAATCGCTGTTGGAATTCTCCGCATCATGGTTTTCGACTCCATGTAGATGCAAAGCTTTCGAATGAGCAAAACTTTGACAAGATCTAGTTCAAGTAAAAATTGAGTTCAAGGTGAATGGTTGGCGGAAGAATGACCCAACTTTAAAAATAGTGTTCGAAATCGCTGCCGGAATTGTTCGACGCATCAAACGTTTTGATTCCAGGTGAAAAGCTTTCGACTGGAAGAAAAACACTTGATGAAATGAGCTTGAATCAATATCCCGAGGTGAAGTTTCTATATCAAATTCTTGTTCTTCGATTCACAAATTTCAGGAAAAATTACTGCGCAGTTTGAAAAATAACTCAACTTGAAAAATACTGTTTGAAATTACTGTTGGATTTCCTCATCGCAACAGGGTTTTGATTATTTTTGCGAATCTTCCGAATGGATGAGAAAACTGGAAAAGAGCATAGCTCATGTAAAAATCGAGTTCAGGAGATAATAGTTAAAAAAGTAACCCAGCATGAAAAATGCAGCTTGAAATTACTGTTTAAATTCCTCACGACACGGTTTTGACTCCTGCTGAAAAACTTTCGAATGAAAGAAGAATCTTGAATCAAATATGATATTTAATCCGCACCATGCTGTGAAGTTTCTCCAACTACCATTTCTTGTTTTTAGACATGAAAATGTCGGTAAAATTTGTACATGTTGCTGGAAAGTACCCGCAAAAATTGCACACGCGTTCTCACATGCTCGGAAAGATCAAAGGGAATATATAGCGTACGGGGTTTGAGGTAACGTTCGTTTCCGGATTCCTTCCTGAGTGCATGTAAACTTACATATATACTGCACTTCGGCTTCTGCTGGTGCTCGCACACATTTCCTGTTTCCCCTATATACAGTATTCGGTTAAGCCAGTTTATTTCCGGATACAAGAGGGGAAAGCTTTTTCCGACAAGTTCCTGCTTCCCAAGCGGTATATAAAGGGAAGTTTTCCGCTGGGGAACAAAATTGAAGGATTTCCCGGAATTTGATTTGAATCCCGTGGCAATTGTATCGATTCTGTTTCAGCCGGATTAAAATTTTAAGCATTTTCTCTACAGTACTGCTCCCGCAGAATACCAACAATTTGCTGCAAAAATAATTTTTGCACCGCGAATAACGAAAAGTTAGGCTGTCCGAGCAGACGAACTCGAAGCTCCACCATGGATTCTTCGACAATAATGGATGAAATTGACATAGACATTAGGTTTATGAATGCAGTTAAAATTGCTTAAGATCAAAATTTATTCCTAGATCATGTTTTAGATCCTTATTTCAATGAGAAAGACTCACCGAGAATAAGATAGCGTTGGTTTTCGATGTCGTATGGTTCCCACTTCAGGACGCGGTTTTTCGTCCGATCATGTTTTCCTTGGAAGACTTCCTCTAGTGACAGCGGGTGATTCGGATTCCTGAAATTTAAAAATGGAAATTATTGCAATTATTGCTTGAAAAGCATGCTATACACAATCCATTGAACCGCCATCGATTAACTCGATTTCCGCGAATACGCCGAAACAAATTGTGACACGCATCGCAAATTTTTGAGTGACTATTCAGAATCAAGTAAACCGACGATTTTATGACACGCTGGCACGTATCTCACATTAATCCAGGTGCACATCATATCAGATGGTGTTAGTGATTAGAAGTTTCTTAAGAAAGGAAAGCGATTAGAATTGGCAGTAATACCCAAAAATCAGCCTGGGACTGGCTATTGGAGCCTATTTATAAAAGGGCTCCAAGAAGTCAGATTTATTCTTGTCCCAACGAAAACAACATTATTAAACTCAGAGAGTTTTGGAACTCAGACACAAATACTTTCACACAACACAAGCATAAAATCAGACAAGTTTTTTGATGGGATGCAACGCATAATTTTGAGCTCTGATGTGCACTTCAAGAGTTGACAGTGGAATGAATTATATATTTTTTTGGTTTTTTGGAAGCGAGAAGGAAGATGAGGAAAGTGGTTTTCCTTGAGTGGGGATTTTATGTGTTTCTAATGGGCTTTGGGAGGAAAATTTGAAGACAACAATCATGTGTGTTTTACAGGTGGTACCTTGCAATTTGACCTGCTGCAATCCAACCGTCCCACAAATCAACCATCAAATTTGCTGTGAGTTTGACTATTACTCTGTTGTGCAATTTGACCAGTGGAAAGACATGAAACATCAAATGCAATGAAGAAAACATGCCATTTGACATTGTCTTGCAATTCAACCTTAGTCCAGCAATGGATTAGGGTCAAATTGCAAGGTACCACAGCTGTTCAGATTTTGAGATTTATTGAAGGCAAGTGGTTTGATACTGGGCTCTCTAAGCCCCAGCACTGATTTCTGAGATAGGGGTGAAATATTATTATTTAAACATGGCTATGTGCCACAGTCATCAACAGATGGCTCAGAAAAATACTCATTTTGGATGGGAATTCAACAGGAATGAATGTTTAAAAAATAAGGTTAACTTTGGCCTTTCATCAAGGGAATTAATTCTGCTCCAGTAATACGATAAATTCAAGATGAACTACTGATTGAAACCTTCGGAGTTCTTCATATTTTTAGCTTTAATCCTCAAGTTTTGTAATTCAGTGCAGCGTACATAATCATCTTCACATTATGTAATCAGTTCGTCAGTGGCAGTGACGGGTAAATTATTTAAATGATGCTATTTTAAGAAAAAGAGGCATAAATCTTCGCCTCATATTCAGTATAAACGAAATTTTGAAACTCATTCGCTGGTCTTGACAACTTTGGATGATGGAAAGTTGCTATCTCCGTGAGAAAAAAATTGTAGATTTTAGTTCAAGAATCTTGACATTCAATCAGATGGTTTTCTTCTTCAGTCTCTGTTTCGTTTCAAAAGGAACCGTTTCTAAAAATTACTCTGTTTTCTCATTTAATTGAAAATCATCTGAATTATGAAAATAATTTTACCAATAAAATTTTTCTTTGAAATCTACACTTGAATGCGTCATGCAGATCAAAGACAGTCCATTATGTATGCAGTTATCCCAATCAGGTGTCTATTATTGCAAGCATTTTTCTTCATTGAATGCATTAAGAAATGGCTTTGACGCCTACATGACGTAAATGATCTCTCGAAATAACAGTGCTGAGGGAGCAAAAATAACCAGAAAGGATCCCTCGCACTTTCTTTTCAATACGCATCAAAGATCCAGGATCTTCAAAAAGATCACGTTTGATCCTAAAGGTCATGTACCCAACGCGATGTTCTTAAAAAGCTTTTCAAACCTGAATACATTCAAACCACTGGAGTTGGAAATTATTCTTGATGATGCCTCGGTTCATGAACTTTGATCTTTCTCCTCGAAAGTCCATTATCCGAACATCTTGATTGTAATCAATCATCATGATCTTGCTATTCCTTAATTTCTTCCAGATAACCTCTGAAAACTCTCTGAATTTAATTAAGAAATGGAATGAATATTGCGTTCCAGTTGCTTTAGGAACATCTTTCAAAATTTCAAAACATTTTGAAGAAGGTGCTGTTCATTCAAGTTATCTTTGAATAAGAAAGTTGATGAAAGCAACAGGAAAGCATTCTTTTAGGTACTATTCATAAGACTCGTCATTCCTTAATTGCATTGTGGGAAATATACACTTCAACTAGCTTTTATTGAGAAAGAGGCGTATTTGTTTTGCATATCCCCAGTCACGAAGAAAAGCTTTTTTGTGTAAGTTATATAGTTTATTCTATTGCTTAACTCAAAATATAATTTTAAAAGTAAAAAATCTTCGACGGAAAGATTTCATTTCACAAAACATCTTTCAGAACTTATTCAAGATAACAATTGGGAGTCAAACCTCTTCATCTTGAACTTTTCGAGGGACCAGCAAAAAAAATTCGAGTTTGGGTGGTATTTGAATTATTATGGGATTCATACAAAATGTTTGAAAAGGATGTGTGAAACCGAATTTACACTGAAGATAATAATTAATTTTCCACGAAATCCTGTCAAATTTACGTGTAAGACTTTCCTGACAGCCAAACAAATTCCATTCCTTCTTTTTTTCTCGGAAAATCGCGTCTCATTCAGTTCACCACCCGAACCAGGATACAATAATATCAAGAGCAATGCTTGCTGACGGCCGAAATCCCCTGGATAAAAAATAAATTATTTTGTAAGCATATATTAGCACATTATTTCGTGGAATTCGTCATGGTGATGAGAAGAAGAACTCCGCATAATAAGCGATATAAGGGGATAACGTTTCGCACGATTCCTCGGGTATATATATAAGCCTACATAGTCGTTGATTAAAATGCGTTTCTCAGAAGTTTTTTTTTCCTTCTTCTTTTTTGTTGCACACACAGTAAAACAAGCATCACCAGCAGCCAGCAGCACCCCCCGAAAGAAACGGAAGAATGAGATTTAATCATGCCGCGTTTTCCGGCCCGCGAACCCCCAGAGAAACTCGGCGCAGCGTTTTTGATCCGCCAAAGACGCCGCTGGCAAAGATTCCATCTCGTCGTGTCTCCCTCTTTTCGGAATGAGCAAGAGGATGATGTATTAGCACCGAGACAATTAAAGCTTCTCGAAAAATTTCCTCCTCCCTCGGGGGGTGTCGACGTCGAGTCGGCCACTGTTCCTGCGACAGCGACAGCGACGAGGCGTGGCGAGAAAGTTTCCCCGAACGCTGCGTGCTGACAACTGCTGCCCTCTGGCAAACCGGCAACAATAGCACTGATTTCAAAGCAATATTTCTATAAATTAATTTTCAGAAATGTTTCTTTTCTTGAAAATTATGGAGATTTATTCGTAATATTCCGATGGAGGTTACTTCAGTCTGACGGGGAATACTGATTAGAATGATGTAGGCTGTGGAACCGGAACACCAAAAATATCACGTATTCATTTTATGACATACATATTTGGAAGTGTAAATCTTTAAAAATATTTCACATGCAAAAAAGACGATGCACGATATTCCGACAATCATTCCTTCAAACAAATATACATTGGAAGCTGCCTAATTCTAATTTAAAGGAACCAGCAAAAAACAAATCGATTTAAGAAAGTTTCGAGATCTTAAGGAAAGAAGCACTTTTATTTTGGAAAATAAAAAAACATTACAGGAAATTGTAAATGGTGGTATTCTGGGCCTTGCATTTCTTCTTACATGGGTTGACAGGATGATGAACCCTGAGGCAAGGGTTCCTTTGCCCAATCAATGTTTCAGTTCCTTTCAAAGCACGTCAAGTTCCTTCTTTTAAAGATTTTCTCTTTCCTGTGTCAAAAAATTATAGCCATAAAACCTTAGACAATTTGAGTTTTGCAGGTGCTGGTACCTTGCAATTGGACTATCCTGCAATTGGATTGTCAAATTTGCAGGAGGGTTGACTTGCAATTCAACCCTTGCCCCACAACTTGACCTTCTTTTACCAATTTTTTCAAGATTTTGCAGTGATATTTTTGAATTTCACCAACTGTATCACAATTCCACTGCTTTGCAATTTGACCCTAGTTTGGCAACTGATTGGGGTTGAATTGCAAGGTACCACCTGTATGGAGGTTTGAGAGAAAAGCCTTCCAGTTAAGGAGGTTTCTGATTCATTGTTTATATAGGAAGTTCAGATGTGGACCTGAAGAAATTTCACGTAGGGTTGAATTTGACTTGGAGAGGTTTCGAGAGGTTCATCTGTTTTACGGAATCCTATTATTTCTGCTGCGCACGGAAATTTTCACTAATTTAGAGCTAACGTGCAGCTGATAGTCGAAATTGATTCCAAAATAATTATTTTAAAATGCGTCCATTCAAAACAGGATTGAAGCACTCGATTTTTTTCCGACATACAAATCCATGAAATTGGAACATACAATTGTTAATCTGCGGAACGAGTGGCAATGCTTCAATTTGAGCTTTAAAATTGAAACCAGCTTTCAGTGTGACATTCGGGTCATTGTACCCACTCATGTCCCCCAAGTTTTGCATAACGACCTCGTGCATCGTTGCCTTCCTATAACGACAGAAAGAAAAACACACCAAAGTACCACGAGAAACTCGTGGAATGCATAAAAATCTGGAAACTTCCGACGCGTGGAATTGCAGAGAAAGATATCTCATGCAGTCCATCACGTGAAATTGAGCTGTTTCACTGCAAGAATTTTTAAGCAACCTTCCGCAGAATTGCGGAGGGAATGAGATTAAAAATGGCACGCGCTGTTTAATTCCCATCCGCCGCGTCTCAGACTCATCTTCTATATATCCTTCTTTCCTAATAAGCATCTGACAGAATAATGGAATGCCGGCGTCTATAGAACAGGTGCTATAGTCTCACTGGGATGCAGAAATATTCTTCTTCATGCATATACTAACAGTACGTTACTTCCTCCTTCTTGCTTTTGGAAGCTGACTGGGGTTGCAAAATTCTAGGGATTTCATGGAAGCTTTAGCTATGGCGAATATCTTTCTTTATTAACCGGGAATAATCCTTATCTCGCTTTCCATGGATCTCATCAACAATTGTAATGAACAATTTCGATTACTTTCACAATAAAATGCAGTGTAACAGGGACTTTCGAAATGGAAATTCAACGCTGCTAAAATTTATTTATCCGCATTGCTTCTATAAAAATACGAATTCTGAGGGGGATAATGTATATGAAAAGTTTACCCGATTCATGGATTCTCGTTAACACAAGCTCCTTTGAATTATATGGTAAAACTTTTCGAATGGTTAGAAAACTTTCAGTGAATATAAAGACGATTAATTCATTGGCAGAACTGAAGGAGCGACATTTTTCACGATCAATCGACATAAATTCAGATTTACTTTGAAGAATTTAGAGATTTTTTTCGAACTGTACAATAGTTGAGCAATATGCGATATTTCCTCATACGTTATATGAATTATATTACATTATATGAATAATTTTGAAATTGAACCTTCGAAGAAAATCAGCCAATCAGTTTTTCATACGGTTCAACAGTCAAAAACATTCGCCAGGGGATCTCAATTTGATTGCACACCAAGTGAGAAAGAATTTCTTATGATCGGTGAAAATCGTTTTGAATGAATCATTGAGAAATTTTTTCATCAAATTTGTTCAACAATTCGACGATGATAAAAAGATTGATTTTAAACTGAAACGCTACAAAAATAGCAAAGCGGATTTTATCGGTTCAAAAATTGACAACATTCCGAAAGCGGATTTCAAAAAGATTCACTTGCAATTCCACAGAAAATTTCTCTGTATAACTGTAAAACAATTGATGAATATTCTCGAATGAAATTTTGAAATTTAACCTTCAAAGAAAATCAGAAAGTTATTGTTTTTGATCGATTTTATAATGACAATTTTCCAAAGGCGCGTGTGACGATTCCTTCATTGCAGAAAAAAATGATAAAATTTAAATAAAGATATATTTTTCCCGATCGATGGACATCGTTCCAAAGATCCACTGCAGCGAAACAATAATGCAAATTTTCTTTTCAATCCGTCATCGCAAAAAATTAATGATACTGCATTCTCGAGTGTGATATAAAAATTGAACCAGCGAACAAAATCAACAACACAATTTGCATCAGCTCAAGAAATCACAATTTTCCCAAAAGCGAACATGCCGTCGCAAAAAATAGTGAATACTGTACACATAAAAAAGGGATTTTCATTTTCGCATAAGCTCAGCACAGCCCTATAAGCGCTCCGTCTTCCAGATTTCTTTTTTATATTAAATTCGCTGTTAATATAATCCTTTTCTGTCCTCCAAGCTATTTTCTTTTTCGTTTTGCTTTCGTCTTCTTTTTTTTAATTTATTTTACTCGTTCCTGTGTCAAATTGTGATTGCGTCCAAGATGAAAGGGAACAAGACACATATTCCACATCAAACATCCAGCACATAGTGGATGCTTGTCCTTCCAGAGTCGCATGCTCGTCGTCGTCGTCGTCGTCGTCGTCGTCGTCGCGGGCAAACAATTGGCCTCTTCCCGCGCACCCGACGAACGAGTCAAGTCAGCAAACACCAGGCTTCAGCTCCAAAGACATCCCTTTGTCTAACTAATACTCCCACATCCGACCAATTACCCAATTAGGAACGCGGCACTCGACGGATCCAATTTGCGGTGTTTAGGCGGGTGACCTGGACAGCAGCATTTTCTTGGAAGACGTAATGCGTGCTGCTCCGCCTTAAAAGCCTGCTAACCGAATTAAGGGTGAGACTCTGATGCAACCCCCTCTTCGTCTTGGAGTGTTGTGGCTGTTTGAGGATGAGAAAAAGGGCGTCGAAAAAGAAAGCCCGGGGATAACGGTGACAGGTATATGTACAGTATGCAATTTCATCCCAGTGGGTCTGGGAATACCTCATTCGCATCAACATAACTATAATTGTATAATATGCCGGTACAATTATACTGTATTTGATATTTGTATCTTACCCTACAACATATTAAAATTGCAAGGGAATAATTTTGTATGAATGGTTTTTTCCAATCAGCGGATTTCACCTGTTGTGTGAATCCACTGAAACCAATTGCGGTGAACTTTTTTCACCAGCACTTTTTGTGGAGCTCCCTTCAAAAAATGCTCATGAATTTTACATGTTTACAATAACTGCAGCCATAAATCTGTTGCTTGAAACTTTGTTTCTCAAGATGCCAGAACTAGCCCCCAAGTCTAGCACTATAAAAACCCTGCCATTCCTTCCCAAAATCAGTTGATCACAAGATCCTCTTCAGGAGTCAGAGATTTGTTTAGGCTTCCCTCCAGACATCTTGTCTTGGTTTGCTGATTTGTCTCACTGTGCTCAAATAAAGAACAAATTGGGTGAAAAGTCTGTCTATTATTTTTAAGGTCTTGCGTTGTTGGCAAACACCTCTCCACAATCAAGGGGTTAAGAACCTTTAAAGAGTCAAAGACATGCTTTAACATTCCCTTCATTTATTCATTGTTGTTGTCTTGAAGTAAAATTAACAAAAATAGGATAACAAATTTTTTACTACATTTTTGGTTGAAGACTGCGATTAACCTCATCACATTGTTTCAGCATTTAATAGATTTTAATAGCTTCTGCTTTGAATTGGGTTCAGTAACTGCTGCAATTGCAATAAATTCTGGCTTATGATGCAATTCTTGTTACTGATATTTTGTTTTCAAGGTCAGGGAAAGAAGGGGTGTATGCATATTCCATACACATCATTTGTGCAGTTGTAGATTGTGGAATGTATTTTATTTTATTTTGGTATCCATATACATATTTTTTTCGCTGTTTCCCCCATTCTGGAGTGATTGAATGCCTTTGAATGGATTTAGGTTGGGTGGGGAAGGGGGTTTGGATGTGTGAATGTTGATTGAACTTTATGAACAGTGAAATATGTAAAATAAAGCGTTCTGTTCATTCATTCATTCATTCATTCAATAGATTTTAGGATCAAAATGTCAGGGACACAACAGCGCAAGAATATAAATTGTACAAAATGAATAGCAAACAAATACAGACTCCTCTTCAGCAGAAAAATATTATTAAAGAGACAATGAGAGATAAAAATTATCGAGTGTTGTCTATAAGAGCCCCCCCACCCCCTGCCGAAAGTCACTTAGGTCAAAAGCACCCCTTGGTAAGCCACCTGGCCAAAAGCGCCCTTCACGCAAAAGCTCAAAGATTGCATGTATTCTTGTAAATTTTGATTTTTAGGTGTAACTTAATGTTTGGCTGAGGGGGCTTTTGGAAGGGGGGGGGGTTAGTTTGGTTGGGAGCCCAATTATCAAAGATAGGAACTTATAAAAACAGTGTCGAGATTATGTCACGTTTCCCCCAAAAATTTCAATTCTTGCATCCATTTGAGGCATTAAGAAATGTACCTCGATCGGTAGTCGACCCTTGGTACGGTGTCTAGGAATATATATATATATATTTTTAAATCCCATAAAAATCGCAGACAATTTGTCGTCATTAGCAGGGATATAGACTCTCTTCTTCAGAGAAGAAAGATTTCATGGAAAAAATTTTCAATGTAACAGTACTTCAAGATTTCAACCTACGAAAATCCTCGTCGTGATATTATGCCCCGTTTCTCCTAGTAATTGAAATGATTGTACCCATTCGAATTGAAAAAGTACCTCGACTCGAGGTCGGGTACCAATTGTTCCCTTTTTTTAAATATCATGAAAATCATGAAAAATTCGTCGTCATAAAAAATACATGCAGGCACTCCTTTTCAGAGAAAAATTCAGAGATTGTCACCAACGCTAATTTTTCAATTACAGTATACTTCACTACGGGCCTATTCTTGACCCTCTCAATATGCTAGGCACTGACAAATGTATTTTAAAAAATTTCAATGCATCTGTCATGACTCATGAGTCATGACAGCAATTGAGAAGGAAACGAGAGAAGAAAATAGGAGGGTGCTTTTTTTGTCCAGCTTGGGTCTCTGAAATGCCCTGTGGTCACGAAATTTACAATCCGCGGAAAACACGGCTTCAAGTCGTACTTCCCCAAAGGTACTTGCTGATATGATTGATGCTGATGCATCAAACTTATTGTGCGACGAGATTGAACCAAATATACCTGCGGAACTCGCAGATATGATTATTCCTCTATCATGATATTTCACACATACCCTCAAAAGTCTTTCGGACAACTATATATATACAGTAAAATACGCACACACAGGCAAACAAGTTTACAAACCAGATTTCCCCAGGAATTGCACGAGTTTATATTATGATATGATGGGATCGCGTCAGAGGTTCTTCTTGTTGCATCTCTCCAAGGACATTTATATATGCTCATACACTATATATACTCACCCAGAGTGCACGAAGTTGCCCAGAAGCTTCATCATGGCCACCGACATGAACAGCTCATCCTTCGTCGCATTTCCGGCCGAAAGATACGAAGGCTGGTCCACCAGAGGCACTCCAAACAAGTATGGCAATTCCTCGCCATGTGCTGTCCCTAGTCGCTGTGAAAAGCAAACAACGAAAAGAAAAAAAAAGAAGATGAGACATCTCAATTCAAAGAGTGATGTTTTAACTTGATTCTCAAGTCATTTCCAAAAAAAAGGTTCATAATCTGGTGCTATTGATAGATTCTAGGTCGATTCCTGGGTGCAGCACATGTAAGCTGAGTTGATGGGATCCCTATAGAGGATTTTTCTTTTTTACCTGAATTAACATGTGTCCCATCAGGTAATTGAAGGATATATTTTCAATAAAAACAGATTGGTTCACCATATATTGAACATTTCTTTCTGCGAATGAAGCATCAAACGAAAGAAAAATGTGAGTTGATGATGCTGGTCTCAAGATTCTCAACTCTAAAATGAGAAACTGCTTTAACATGACAATTTCGGGTGTGTCTATTTTTGGCTATTTTCCCCCTAAAAAACTGTTAAAAGCTTCCTCATTTCAGCCTTTTTCCCAGACACTCTAGATTCTAGAACACTTGTTCATCATTTAATTCATCATCTGTAGTGATATATAGTACAGTATACAATATTTTACCAAGATGCGGGGGGGGGGGGGGGGGGGCGGCGGTGGGGGGGGGGGGNGGGGGGGGGGGGGGGGGGGGGGGGGGGGGGGGGGGCACGCGTGCAAGAGTTGATCGGATCCCGAGAGCATTTTTGTTTCTTCCTCGAATATCATGTGTCCCAAATGATAGGGATGTATTTTTCAATAAAAGCAGATTAGTTCAGAATATACCACATTTTTTTCCTACGAATAAAGCCCGAAACCAAAGAAAGGTGATGAGTGAAAGATGCTGGTATCAACTCTCAAGGCCAGAGAAAACGGTTTTATCATGACACTCTAGGATGTCTATTCTAGGGTGTCTATTTTTTTGTAACTTTTCTTTCCTTTAAATATAGTATATGCCAAGGTTGTTTCATATGTCTTTTGACTCAGTAACTTGCTGTCATTCGAGGAGGATGCAATTTTTTATATGATTCTACAATGTTTTCTCATTTTCTAATAAATTGTTGGCCCACCCACCTACAGACGGAGATGGAAAAAAGAGCTTAAAGCAGGACACGTTCTTTGTTTGTTTGATTCTTGAGATCCTTTTGATGCCAGAAGACCAGATTCTGCGTGGTTTTCTTTTTAGTCATTTTCTCTTTCTTAAAGTTGAGAAAACGTATCCATTCAATTTCTTGGGGGATTTTGTTCCTAATTTTTGATGAACAGAGGAACCAATTAATTCTTTTCCCAATTCAGTGTACGGGGAGAACCTGACTGAACATAAGCTGAGAGAAATATTTTAATTTAATTTGTTAGTGACTTAATTCCTAATATTCTATGAAAAGGAGAACTCTATTGCATGGTATGGGAAACCGTGATTCAACATAAGCTGAGAGAAACATTTTTATGTACAGTATAGTAATTTTTTGGGACTTTATTCCGCTTTGTTGATCAACAGTACAGCAGAGCCAATTAAATATGTTCCAAATTTCAGTCAATGAGAAAAAGTGATTCAACACACGGATGCTCCGACATTATGGGAACGCGGCCCAAGCTAGCACCCTCACGTCCACATCTCGGGGCCCCACTGCATATAAAATCCTACAGGTATTTCCATTTATTTCATTCCTCTCTCTCTCGTCAAGTGGCTCCTTTCTGCCATGAAAGTCCCGACTGAGGATGCATCGTGACAAAAGGTGGATGAAGTGCTGTGGCGGATCATGCGACCTGAAGCGAAGGTCCCAGAAGAGCGTTCACGGAACGGCGGATTTCGGGGCCCGCTGGAAAATCCCGGGGCTGAAAGCTCCCGAGAGAGCAGCATGAGTAGCTATAGCTATACGATTTCTTCCCATACATACAGTACAGTAGTACAGGAAGAGAAGAAGAAGAAATTTCCGCGGATTTTGAAGGCAGCATTCGAGACGACGGTCTTATATAAATATATATATATATAACAAAATGTGAAATACTGTTCACTTATTTCAGGTTTTTACTTTCTTGAGTTTGTTAAAAAATTTATATTTATACATATATATATATATATATATATATATATATATATATATAGATATGTGCGTATAGGAAAAAAAAGAGTGGGTACGGGTGCAAGGGGTTTCTTTCGGGTAATTCTTGCGGAATGAAGAAGATGCGCGAATGGCACATTGAAGGGCAGGGTCCCGCATTTTGCGGAATTAATTTCGGGATTGGGAAAACCTGGCTTTTTTTTCTTTTTATTTAAATCGCGGGATTTCCGGAAGAAACCATCGGTACTAATTGAGTCACTTTGTGTGCCCCTTTTTCTGTCCTTGATGGATGCACGGGCAGGATGAACCAGGAAAAAAGGGTCCGAATTTTGAAAGCTTTTCAAAAATAAATAAAGCCGAAAAGAAATTTCTTCAGCTTATTCCAGAAAATCTCCAGCTTCACATGAAACATTAGTGTTACTGAAAGAAGGAGGGTTACATTTAGGATTATTTTATATTTTAAATACTGTATCTTGATTTGGGACTTTCCTTTCGTTCAATCATCGAAGTCATTTTAGAAAACTGTGGTGATTACGGTTGTCTGATAGTGGTATTTTGAATGGCGTATCTTCCTAAATTTCACAAGTTCAAATTTCATTTCAAACTCATCATCATTACAGTATTGGCAAAACGGAGTCATACCAAGTATGGTGTAAGCCTACTTTAGTGAAAATTAGCCTCGAGTATCAGTTAATCGAAAATTATCAGATAACCCAAAAATCACAGGAAAAATAGAATTTCAATGTACGGAAGATGTCAAACATTCCTTTTTAAAAGGTTTCGGCTACTTCATTCTTAGTATTGAATCCCTCTAGTACGTCAAGTAAAGTGGTTGAATAGAAATTCCTAAAGTATAAATATTGCGGAAAAATTTTTACATTCGTTTTATTTTCTAATTCAAGGTTGTTTGGCCATGTATTATTGACCATTGCTTAAAATATATATTTGAAAAAATTGATAGCTCAATAAGCCGTTTGGACGTAATTGCCAGTTTAATCAGCATAAAACTTGCCATTCGTCTTTGAATTTTACAATAACTTTTATTTATTTTTAGTTTATCTGACGGTAATTCATCGATTATTCAGAGTTCCGTCGACCCGTAAATCCGTGATTTAAATTTTTCGTCATTCATGGTACACTGAAAATTCACAGAAAAAGATCCAGGAAGATTAAATTCTTCGAAATAAGCTCCCTTTTTTTGGCTCCTTCGTTTTTACTTCTGATTTTTTTTTGGCAGGAGAGAACCTTTGTCTGGAACATCTGCTGGTTGCCGCGGTGAGTCCAAATACGCGGTTCCCAAGGAAAACGTCTTCTTTATTCTCTTCTTTATTCTCTTCTTATTCTCTTCTTTATTCTCTTCTTATTCTCTTCTTTATTCTCTTCTTATTCTCTTCTTTATTCTCTTCTGGAAATATTTCTCTCTAGAAATCGTATGCAGACCTTGGAAAATGCTGACATCACCTGTGCACTTTCCAGCAACAGCACACATGCTCTGCTCTAGGCATTTTCTCCTGGATGAAGCTCGCAGATGCTGTAAGAGCTCCTCCCTTTCAGTGTCATGATCTTCTGCATTAACATAAATTAAAAAAGAGTAAAGGAAAATCAAAAAAGAGAGGATGGGATTCTGCATTCCAGTAGCAGCTGGGCCTGAGGAATATGCATGCTAACTTTTGCCCACGCTGGCGGAAATTCCAGGGCAAAGGAAAATTTTATTTTTTCCTCTCCGAGAAGAAAAGCCTCCACCATCTATATAATGTGACACGAATTTATTTCCGCGTTGTCAACCGCAGGAGGAATAAAAAGCTATGCCTTTTTTGCATGCACATCCTTTCGCTTCATCCGTGCATGAGTTGACTGAATTATCCGGAATAATCTTTCCTCGCCAGATACTTCGCGGTCTTTTCGTAATTTCTTTCTCCCTTCGAGAATCCATCATTTTTATGATCATAATATATGAGGTCTTTCATGAGATGATTTCCAGCTTTAGCCTGAATTGCATTCACGGGAATGTATTAAGGAGGAAACTTCGCATGAATTGAAACCCGAGTGTACGACGTCTACGATAACCCTGGTTCCTTGATGATATGAATTTACAAAACAGGGTTACCGAAGCATGAAAAATGCATGATTAGATATTTCAAATGGTTCGCAAATTTTGGAGCTTTAGGTCGATTTCACCAAATAACAGGAGAATTGCTAGCCTTTAAAGTTTAAATTAAAGTTTGATTTCAAATTTCAGACGGTGAATCATGAGAATGTCGGTAAAATATAAGTCACTAATATGTCTGGTTATAGTCACGGAAATTTTCTGTCATTTCTGAAGTCAGAGAATCAGATCAAACGCCTTTTCTCATTGATCCATGCGCAACGTATCAATTTTTTTAACTTTGAGGATTAATAGTCGCCATCATTTTTTTCGTATATCCGTTATTATAGAAGGCTCGGTATAAAATATGTTTACTGTATGTCGCATTATTGACATCGCAGCTCCATTTGAAATACAATAGAAATGAAATTGTTAATCCGTTCCCTCGGGAAATAGCAGAAAAAAGCAATTTCAACGAAGTTCTGTGTTTATTTATTCAGAAGCGGAAATTGGAAAGGTTGTTGTTGTGATCCAAAATTATTTTTACGAGCAGCATATGCTGACTCCTATTTTTCTCTATGTGTTTGATTGCACCCTGATCTTTTTCTTTTCCTTTTCATATGCATATAGATATGCATACGCCCGTCACGCGCACCTGCTTCGCGGCCAGCCAGCTATCCAGCTTGCTGTCCTCTCGCGGTCATACGTGTGTGTGTGTGCATCTATTCTTTTGGGGCCAGCCAGCAAGTCGCAAACCTGTTGACTGCCCACCTTTAAAACTCAGTGTACCGTCCTATACTATTCAGCATTGGTGTCCGGACTCACTCGCGGACTGTTGTGCACTGAAATACATATTGCTTGCCTCTCAGCAGAGATCCTGGTGCTTACTTATTTAACTGTTGAAAATCCTTTTACCCGCAAAGCACGCGGAAGACAATAGTGTCCTGACTCACTCGCGGACTGTTGTGCACTGAAATACATATTGCTTGCCTCTCAGCAGAGATCCTGGTGCTTACTTATTTAACTGTTAAAAATCCTTTTACCCGCAAAGCACGCGGAAGACAATTGAGAAAACCCAGGATAGAATTGGTTATTCCAAGATTCGAGGTCGGTAACAAACTTACCATTAGACGTTATAGTAAGCATTTGTTTAAGATTCACCGATTCTTGTATTTCTTCAGGAAATAGGATAACATGTTGATGTCAATCTTTCTCAAGCTGTAATTGAAAATAAGTTGTTCTTGTTTGAACGCATTTATGTCAAGTCATATATTATAAGTAAGTTATTCCCGGAACTACCTCCCTTCACTTAGCTAACGAGACCCCAAAAGCACCGCGTACCAAGCCTGCAGAAACTTTTAGTAAAGCTTCGTGGCAAGACGTTTCGAATTAATGCGTTTTTAAGTCGGGGTCATTCCGTCTTTTCGGGGGCCTGAAAAATCGCGTGCCTTTAAGTTGATCAATCCGTGGTAATCAATGACACCCTGGGCTCCCCAGCGTGACGCAGCTGCAGCAACAAACGCCGGACAGCGGGGATAAAAAGCACAGTGTCCATTAATTGAAAGCTATTAATCAAACGGGGCGCCGGCGATCTCTGCGGATTATCTCGCGTTTCGAAGTCATTCAACCTATTCTATTGCTCTTTTTTATTTTTATAAATGTATATTTTGTGTGTGTGTGTGTTTTTTTTTTTTTTGTGGAGTGGTCTCTGATTCCGCTCGTTTCTCGGGATTATTTTTTCTGCAGGGGGTGATTGATTCCGGGTGCGCGGGGTGCTGATGAGGCATTCGAGACGCGTGGAACGCTAAACTCGGTAGTTGACCGGTGACGACGCCCGAGCCATTGCTGGGGTTGCACCTACAGGATGGCGCTTAAATGGGGTTCCGAGAACCACCAGCTGACTTACGGACCTGGTTACGAAGGTTGAGATCCATAGTGTTCGAATTTGGAACGAAGATGAATTTATTCCGGAATTTACTGATCATTGATCAGTTGATGGGAAGCAAATGTTTCAATCGTTTTAAATTACGTTATAAGGGTTCCGGCGCATTTGAAGAATCCCCATTCCAAAATGTGGAGGCTGCGTCATTCATTTTCTGCGAATTTTCACCATATAAAGGTAACCACCAGCTGACTTACGGACCTGGTTACGAAGGTTGACTAGGTATCACAAGCTTAAGCCTTGCTTCTACTTAAAAAAAGGCCTTAAATGACTAGTAACTAGTCAACTACCCTTTGTTTACAAAGAGTCGTCGTTTTAAATTACGTTATAAGGGTTCCGGCGCTTGAAGAATCCCCATTCAAAAATTTGGGAGCTGTGTCATTCATTTTCTGCGAATTTACACCATAACGGTTTGGTGGTCGACTGAATGCCTAGAGCTCTAGAGCCTAGACCAATGCTTCCAACACATACATATTGTTCGAATTTAGAACGAAGATGAATTTATTCCGGAATTTACTGATCATTGGTCAGTTGATGGGAAGCAAATGTTTCAATCGTTTTAAATTACGTTATAAGGGTTCCGGCGCATTTGAAGAATCCCCATTCCAAAATTTCGGAGCTGTGTCATTCATTTTCTGCAAATTTACCCCGAGGTTTGGTGGTCGACTGAATGTCAGGACCCATGCTTCCAAAAAAGCCATACTGCTCGAATTTAGACCGAAGATAAAGTCATTTCAGAATTTACTGATCATTGATCATCTATAACGGGG